CAATTTATGTTCCATTATTATTTTTACCATGCAAAGAGTATAATTTACTTAGCGGAACATAATAACATGTATTTCAATTGCCTCACAACAGCTTTATAGAATTTTCCTTTTTTTTCAAAACCGTTTTATTGTGACCAAGAACAGATGGTCATCGTTCGCCATTTCGGTAATTTGGATGCTTATAAAATTATGGTGACTAGTGTTTTATACTAGTGTTTTTATAGTTATTGTGGAAATTGCTGTTTACCGAAATGACACTATTAAAGAGAAATAATTCTGAAAAATATTGGTTAGTTACTGGCCTGGGAGAAACATCGCAGACATCAAAACATCATAGGAAACTTGGCCCTGGCATTAATAACATGTTTCATTAACAACGGAATAAAAAACCTGGAAGACCAAAACACATTTTTTACACCAAATTACAGATACAAACCAAGTGACTGCTTTCAGCCTCTAATAGTCAAAACTCAGCTTAATTTTTACAATAGTAGTTGCTAAAACACTAAAACCAACCTTCCATCCAGTGTTATTAAGCCAGGAATTACATTTATAAAGCACCTCGGTATACATAACTGAGGATGGTAGAACAAAAAGTGGTTAAAAATATCGGTGGAGATAAAACAGGTGTTTTTTTTAAGTGTCTACGGTATATCAAAGCTCCAGGGCAACGCCACGCCTGTTAATGTGGGAAATATTAAAATTTTAGATCAGGGAGACCATAAAACTACTCTTGTTTACATCGTATTGTCATCAGCCATCTTTAAATGTATTCCTTCTCTCGACCTCACAATGCATCTCACAAAACAAATCATGACGTCACTTGGAAATCGGACTATTAACTCCCAACAAACACCAACAGTAAAAAATAAAAAAAGGAATAAATTTTAAAATACAGAACTTCAATTATCGTTTACACTGACTCGTAAAAATATCTGATAATTTTTTTTATGGAATTTCTAATGTGAATACCTGTACCTCTGTTAGGATGTGCTGGTTCCCTCGCTGTCGTCCAAACTCGTATCTGATTGGATAAATTAAAATCTGTTAAAAGAAAAGTGAATTCTTACGTCATCGACTAGTACACTATACTACACAACAACCGTGAATTACCCATGTTCCGGTATTGATCCGAAAGTTGGGTTGTACATAAAAAGGGTATGGAAAGAGGTCTAGTGTTGATCTAGCATAGCCAGTTGTTAGACGCTGAATTATTTTTCTTGCCCTTCCGATTAAACTACCCACGCACTCAAAAATTTACCATGTTCGTATAACAGACCCTAGTGTTAAAAGATGTGAGCAACAAGTCCTAATAGATCTTGTTTTACCTCCGGCTGTGCTGCTCTTATGTTCGGTGTACTTAACCATCTTCTCTGCTCGGTTCCAGTAAAACTTCTAACATTGTTTTATATCCCACTTATGTTCCTCGTGACAGGAAACCGAAGTACACTATATACGTACTGTTCAGTGTATTAAAAAGTTTTACGCGGACGAAACGGAAATGATGCCAACATTTGAACAGTCTTCTTACAGCTGAACTATCGACCGCTCTGATCTTTGACGTCAACACTTGATAATTTGTTTCAATTACATTGGCTTTATAAAGTTAGTGCACAGTAAATGGGTAGCTAACTTTACAGTTAGGTACAATCCCTGTTTACCCAGGACTTATTTAATACCTGTATAGTGTCCCTAACGGGCAGCCAGGCCTATGGTACCCGTTTCCCACTGTTTAACAATTAATATGTGTGTGTGTGTGTGTGTGTGTGTGTGTTAGTATAGATGTAATTCACAATTTACTGTTCTTTCCAAAAATAATATAATTAAGAAACAACAAGCTACTATTATAAACAAGTGTTAGTCAAGAATGAAGCAATAAATTTTACTGGAAAGTTTAAGTTATGTTAATGCAGTCTTGGGGTGCTGCATATATGTGAACAGCTGGAGCTACCATATATGGTTACCAAGCTGGATCTACTAGTATGTGGTCTACCGAGTTGAGCTACCATATGTGTGGTTCACAGAGCTACCACTTGGATCTACCATAGTATGTGGTCTCAAGCTGCACAGGCTACGAGTGGAGCTACCATAGTATGTGGTCTACCGAGCTGAGCGCCTAGTATGTGGTCTACCGAGCTGGAGCTGTTCTCTCCAGAATATTTACACTGTAGCATCTATTAACCCAGCCTAACCTAACTTAATCTATCTTAACTTAACCTAACCTAACTTAACCTAACCTACCTTAATCTAACCTATCTTAACCTAGGTTAGGTTATGTTAATGGATGCTAGTGTAAATATCCCGGTAGACACAACTCCAGCTCAGTAGACCACATACTATGGTAGCTCCAGCTTGGTAGACCACATAATATGGTAGCTCCAGCTCAGTAGACCACATACTATGGTAGCTCCAGCTCAGTAGACCACATACTATGGTAGCTCCAGCTTGGTAGACCACATACTATGGTAGCTCCAGCTCAGATCACATACTATGGTAGCTCCAGCTTAGTAGACCGCATACTATGGTAGCTCCAGCTTGGTAGACCACATACTATGGTAGCTCCAGCTCAGTAGACCACATACTATGGTAGCCCCAGCTCGGTAAACCACATACTATAGTAGCTCCCTTTAAAGTCCCATCAAAAACAGTATTAACTCAACAGTAAATGATTCGGTATTATTTCACTTGTTACCATTCAAAGAATTGTTTGAATTTTATGGTTGTAATCAATAGTTTAGATAATTCTAAGACACTTTTCTTCTATGACGGGGGGGGGGGTTAGGGTAGCCGTGGTTAGGTTAGGTCGTTTGCGAGAGATATCAAAGAAGAAAAGTGTCTTGGATTTGTCTAAACTATTGATGACAACCATAGAATTCTCAAAATTCTTTGGGTGGCAACAAGTGAAATAATACCGTCTAATCACGACCAAACTAATACCAGGCCAGGAATCTGACCCAGATGGGAAACGCTAGGTTAGGATATATAAGAGTTCGGGGTACGTACGATGAGGTTGAGTTAAATTAGGTTCGGTGCTTAAAAAAAAATAGGGCGCTTTAACTAATCATTGGGCCGAATGTTAGGGTTATTAAATAGACTCAGTCAACAGCAAATGAGTTAATACATTTATCGTCACATTTCACACATAAGTATTGCTTCGGGCACTTGTCATTATGATTTTTTTTTTTTTACGGGGAATAGCCCACCTGGCACAGGTCATCGACCCACAACGGGGCCTATGGGGCGAAAAATAAGAATAAAAAGAAATACAAAATAAAAAGTTTAAAAAAATCATATAAATGTACACCACGAAGATGCTGGAAACCAGCTTTTTGAAGTGAGACAGAGTTATGAGTATGGAAACACAGAAGAAGGCAGAGCATTCCACAGTTTGGCTGTGTGAGGAAAGAAGGATGTACTTGTACTATAACGGGTTATTCTGGTGTGACCGACATCCAGAGTATGGGCACCGCGGGCAAGACGAGTGTTACGAGCCCACGGTCTTACCGGCGGTACACAGGATGCCAAATCCACCGAAGATTGCCCGTTAAAGTATCTGTAAAAGAGAGAGTGCGGCGAAGAGAAAGGGAAGAAAGAGTATCAACTAAAGGAGGAGAGTAATAAGACGAAATGCCTTTGATTCCACCCTATCTAACAGTTGGACAGAAGAGCAACCCCAGATATGAGTTGTCAACTTGTTACGTATATCAATTTAAATTCTTGTGAAAGAAATCATACAAGGTTAAAGAAATTATATGGGTGCAGTTTACATTAAGGAACGTGCAAGTTTGATGAATCGATAATTTACCTTCTTTATGTCCATTTTTTATGATAATCTGTAAAGCAATGCACAAGACGTGTCAAGATCACTTTGTTTACTTCTAGAATGAATGGCGCGGAACTTTACCAGGAACTCCGCTAAAAGTTCCAAGAACGTCAAAAATATATGATGACTGGATATTACTGTGACAAAAGTACATAATAATTATTGTGTATATAATATAAATAAAACAAAGGTGAAAATAATTTTATTACTTATAATTTTAAGTTAAAGAATGGTTCATGCAATTCGCAGCTTGGCAGAAATTAGCCCAGTTGCTGAATATTTGTACAACTGTGATTAGTGAAATAAAATTAGCGCAAGACTATACTGCAGTGTATTTTCGCAAGGTTATTTAGCTACATAGACCACAGCATATTATGCCGAACGTAATATTACTGACTTTTTTCCAATCCGAAAAAGCACCACTGCTCACTGACTTCAAGTAAACTGTCTTATTATAAGAATTCTGGTGCCATTTTTTCTAGTAACCACCTGGTGAGCACAATTAGTGAAATACGGGAATTTGATTGTCAGTTTCTACCTCCTGCCCCTCCCATAAAAAAACATCAACTAGAAACTACCACCTCGCAATTTCTCCATTCAAAGTACAGTACTTTTGAATTATATAGAGTTGTGAACTTGTGAGCTATATATAGAAAACAATAAAACTTACGAGCAGAAGTTTTGTGGGCGATTTTGTAAGTAGGGTGTGACCGATTTGTCATTGAATTAACAATGGCTGCTGAGATGTTCACAGCATGTGAGGTTTGCTACTGGGGAAAAAATAAGTTTTTATATAGCGTCAGTGTTACAGTATATATCTATACCAGTATTTGGGGGGTTTATTGTGATAGTTGGCAGGGTATGTATGATTAGTAAAAGTTCACATGATATTATATATTAATGACAAGTACACTCCATAGGTGAGACGTGTAGTATAAAACAATGAAAATATATACTGTGCAGCTGTTATGATCAATGCTTGATAACCTCCAATGTGTATATCATAAATTATAAATATTTTCAATCTTATACGAGGAATAAACACTTGAGTAATTCTTTAGGGAAAAAAGAGGAGCAACACAACTATGTGATGTGGTATTTAACAGCTATATGTCGATGGCCAGAAAAACAAATCAATCATTCAATCAACAGCCATCCTCTTCCATCTTCTTTATAGACGACGACATGATCATCGAGATGCCTGACGGGTACCGCACGCCGGGGCCACCACTGGACCTGGAACCTGGGCAGACGGCAATGAGCCCACACCTTGGGCCCCCTCACCCAGGCCCTCCCCACCACCCCTTCATTCATGGTAAGTCAGTACTGTACTGTACTGTACTGTATATGGCTGTGTAAAGCAGAGGTATTTCTTTTGAAACATTTCAGTGTCTGAACATCTCTCTTTAATTATTAAGAAAAGCCAGTACTGTATATTTGTAAACAGTATGTAGTCTTATTAATTTGTTTAACTACAGTACAAGTATACAATATACTAGTACAGTACTATAATATATGCAACAATGTAAAAAATATACCAAAGTTTAATACTGTATTTGTACTGGTTTGTCTAATTGTGAACACCCAAGAAGTGTTATATTTGTGTTTTACTACATATATAACAGCAAATACTGTATACGGAAAATGTGTTGAATATTATTGTACTACTCCAGGACTCAAATTGTCTGTGATATGAGTGTTAACAACAGGTTATGCATGAATTGTCTTGTTAGGAGTCTTAATTTTTTTTACTGTAATTAATCATATCGTAAAATTAGTTTATCATAAGAAGTAGAGGTACAGTATTAAAGTTAACACACCTTACTGTTGCAGGAGCTGGAACACCCCCATACATGGCAGGGGGCGGTGGACACTCCCCCAGCGCCCCTGTACCTCCTCACCCCATGGCTGCCCCATTCCCATATTCAGAGCCTCTACCGCCCTACCAGACACCCATGAGTAAGTTCTCTATGATTTATTTTTTATGATTAGGTGAGAAATAAAAGATTTTAAGGTGTAGGACACTGTACCAACCTATTACATCACAGTTCTGGTATCATTAAAATTCTCTGCCAATATCAATATCATACCCTTTATTACTAGGGATTTGAACCTGCTGGATAATAAGAAAATTTCCTCAGTGAAAAAAAAAATTATGTAATACTGTGTCCAGTATTTGAAATACTTTGGCTTTACATTAAATCAGGGCAGATTAAAAAAGCTGTGGGTGGGAGAACATGGCGAGCACAGTGAACCTACCCAATTGGTGGGCACTGTAAGACCCCCAGAATTTGTTGAAATCTTACTAATATCATGGGCATTTTCAGGCTATTTTGAAGCCATGTGCACTTGATATTAGGAGATATTGTGAGGATAATAATAATTACTTTTTACTATAAAAACAACCCGAGTATAATAATCCATTAAATAAAAGTATTGGATGCCCCTGCATTTATATACAGTAGAGTACTGTACAATATTTATATAGGTTTAATCAAAGACAGTATTGTTAAGTATTCATACAAATTCAAGCTTTTTCTCTGAGCGTTTTTTATTCTTTAAAGAAATCATTATCTTCCGATACTTTGGCTGGTTTGACAATTACAGTATGTAATCAAATATCCATTGTTGTGCACCAGCTGTTTTTAATGCTTTTGCAGGTATGGCTGAGTGGCACCAAGCACACACACACAAATAAAATACAGTAAAGAGATAAACTGATTTTTGCATGCATTAGCCAAATGTAGAAATGTATAGTATTACTTCACAATGAATTTTCCTGTTTTCCAGACATCTGTTTCCCAGTTTTTATTGTATTTCTGAAAAATATTTAGTACTATACAGTAACATATTTATTACAAAGCTCTTTGTTTTTTCTCGAACAGCAGCAGCAGCAGCAGCGGCGGCGGCGGCAGCAGCAGCAGCTGCAGTAGCTAGTGGTGGTGTCAGTGTGTTGGGAGGTGGTCCAGCCAGTGATCTCAGTTCTAACGGATCTAACCCTAGTTATCCAGAGTTCCCACCATCCCCAGACTCATGGCTTGGGGACATGCAACAGGACCATCACCCACAATACTAACTCCCGTCTCCCCCGTAACACCCATCCACACAACTTAAAAAATTCACTACTGTTGTAACTGCCTACCCTGGAACTTACATTATGCTCATTACTACCCACCCCATCCCACCACTCACATTACTAGGTTTCACTTAAATTTCAAAAAGTGGCTCTCATATTCATGCTTTATTTACTTGTTACAGTATTGCTTCATCAATACACTACACTGTATTTCAAAATGCCTCAAATAAGCAGTCAGGTTGTTTCATAAATTTGTCAACTGGAAACTCTCAGTACAGTACAGTACAGTACCGGTAACTCATCTGCTGGAACTGAATCAATACCAAAGACTTTAGTCATATTTCATACATATTTTTTTGATGAGTGAATATTGCTGCATGAAATGGTACAGTACTTTTTCTCAGTGATTAATGATGCAAGTATGTACCTTTACGAGAATCATACAGAAACTAACCTAAATACCATTCTAAACAAAACAAATGCAGTCTTATACTGAGATGGTATTTACTGGTAATTGGTCCTTAATATTCTGAATAATATTTTTATATGTTCAGAGCAATGGCTCTTTAATTAGTCTGTCATAATGCTGTATTCATCGGCATGACAATTAACACAAGGCCCTCAAAACTTAAGAAAGGTTTTATCATTCTTATATTCCTATTCTGTAAATCACTTGTTACGAACCTTTGAGTAACATTAAAACAAATTTTCATCGCTTGTCCTCGTGTTCTCCTCAAATGCTAAGTACAGTATGCTGTATTTTAAAAGATTTTTTTACCTCCACACCAAAGAATGCAGACCAAAGAAGAACATTTATATCCTAGTCATTCATGTAAATAGTGTTCCCTCAAAAATAATTAAGGCATTGTGAGGTCACCAAGTAACATGAGAAAATAATGGGCATTGCATTATTCACTTTGTCTTTGTTTAGATTGTAAGTAAGAGTATTTAATCAAAATATAAGAGTAAGATATTTTCACCTAGTCAAGCATATGTACAAAACCATAAAAAAATAATTCCTGGGGGAAGATCGTTTTCACTTAAAATGGAGAGCCTAAAGATGAGATAATCTCAGATCTTATTGCTATACAAGATAGCAATAAGTCAAGCTAGCTACCTGATGGTTTCAATATGATGCTTTCTTAGGTTTACTTTTCAATACAATTTCTTGATTGGCAAACTTTAAAGTTATTCTTGTTGATATGTAGAAGATAAATTACCAGTTATACTGTAAAAACAATTAAAGAAAATCAACTTGATAACAAAAATACAAAACACTTTATGTATTTATTAACACATTTAGTCCCTGTAACAACTCTGCATCATTCAAGCTGTGAACATGTGGGCATCCAGCATAATGGGTACAGTAGACAGTTCTTTATGAGTGGTAAAGATTTTTCCAGGGTTTGTTGCTGACCTTTACTTTAAAGTTCAAGTGGGTGAACAGGTGATCCTTCATAAGTTATAATCTCTTAGGTTGTGGGTATTTGGTCATCAATTTACACAATATCTCCCTCCCCTCCATTGTTGGATGGATAGATTGGGTCCTTGTATGAAATAAAAACAAGTGCTACTGCCAACTGTATCAGGTGATAGAGCCACCTGGTGCATGCCAAAGATGCAAGTGGTGCAAGTGTACAGTAATGTGCAGTTACAATCAGAACAAACGGTGTGAAGTCTTGAAGATTGAGAAGGGACATAGCCGCTACAAGAATCAAAGTCTTCTGCCAGAAGTCCAATGTCTTCAGTGAAAATATCTCCCTAATCAATGACCAGACCTGATGATGTACATATACTTAAAATGTGATGGTCAATACATAGATGAAACCTTAGTCACAAAGGACAATGGCAGGTTAAGGTGAAAGGATATTTTTTATGTAGCTAATCTATGTCTGTCCTTTCATGGAAGAAGTTTAAATGTATATATCTATATGAACTGAATTATCTCTTTAAGGGAAAGTAGAAAACATTTTGCCCACTATTGTGGATTAGAAATGATTTGTATATAAGAAAGAATCTGCAATATGTGTGGTATGAGTGTAACTGGTTAAGTAAGAGTTTATGTATTATTTCCTTTATAATTTTGCAGCATACCAAAGATGCATCACCTATGATGTTTAAATCTAATGTATAATTTTGGTGTTGGAGTGACACAAAATGTTGGAGTTGTGACTTTTGTTTTGTTTTATTACAAAACTACCCGAGTGAAAACTTCTCCCTCGCCGTTCATTTCACGGCACGGAGAAGAATTATCACGTTTTTTTTTAACGATGCATCGTTGATTTAACATTTACACTGGACACAAGTATAGAACAAAGATATTCTGTTGACAGCGTACCTGATCACAAGAGAAGCTACAAGTTGATCTAAGTCATCTTAAACATGAAGCACGTGTCTTTAGATATCCAGTGTTATGAAGTTAAAGGGGATTCAGCTTGATGTGAACTGATCCTCTCATTACTACTCTGCTGTGTACAGTAGCATCTCACATTCTGTTGACTCTTTTATACAGTACAGTACTCTGATATAAATCTTCATTTTACTGCTTATTCTTCAATACTGTATAAGTTCTGTACATAGTTATAGAGTATGTATGTGTGGAGCTGAATGATAATACTCATAACTGTTTTATTAATTGTCAAAAATACATTAATTTGAAACAGACACCTCAGAATGACTTCATCAATCAGTGTAGCATCTTATTTGAGTGTCATTTATACATAAGACTCAAGTTTTAATATCACTGGGAACTGTGTATCTGCTATGTAGACATGTATGTGTCCAATGTATGTAATGAACACTTGATGTTTTTCTTGTATTAAATTTTTCATCTTTGGCCAAGTTAACATGAGCTAGATATTTTAGCTTCTGTACCAATACAAATTGTCAAACACAGTTCTTATAATTTATATTCATTTAAACAGGCAGGGAAGTTAATTTTCCCCTTGTTATAAATGTAATAGTTTAATGACCACTAAACACAAGTAATTATATTTTGTTGATTATTCTCTTACTCTCTCTTATAAATCCTGTAGACAGACACAACACGTCATGACATGTACACTTATTTTATAATGAGAGAAAAAAAGAATCAAAATGTTATTTACAAAGGAATATTTCTTTATTTTTATTAAGTTGAAATAAGACAAAAGTGAGAGTAATCACCATCCACTGTACTAGTTTCACCTTTTGTTCCCAAACCCATGAGCAACCTACCTTATGTGAACATGGCCTTTTAAATGGTACAATCTCGAAACAGTTTTTTGAGGGATCCACGTGTGGTCAACTAGAAAAGTGTTAATACAGTATTATAATCTGATTTGCATTGAATTAATAACCTTTACCATCAGTACATCTTGTGAAGAATCTTATGATAAGTTGTCAGCATTCATAGGTATTTGGACCACAAAAAGTTTTCCCAAACGACAGAAAGATTTTATGTTGACATTCAAAACTTTGATAAATGAGAACTAAACATGCCATTCTTGGTGATTGCATTTCAGAATTTTTGTGTGAACACTTGTATTAGTCTACCATACAAAGATTTCCACTATCTGGTGACTCCCTCTACCTTACATGGAGAACTGTTCATAGTTCGACCCTTCACTAAAGATCACTCATCTACATGTATATGACATTTTGTGCAGCACAAAATCAGTTATTCTTCGCTCAATGATAGCACTTATGATTTTGTTGTTGGTGTTGTGAGAAAGTCAAGCTAGATAAGGGAGTATTCAGTGTATTGAAGCAGAGGCAGCCAAGGTAATCATTTACAGTATATATATAGATTAATATATTATTTGTATCTGTATTGATTTGCTCTTTACTGACATTATGGATGTTTGCTGTATGTTCATCTTGACTTGCTTCTGGCTGGCTGGAACCTAAAAAAAGAAACCCTTCCAGCTGGAACCATAAGAAATGTATAATAAATGAATTTATGTATGAGGCATTTCCATTACACCTATTTTTTTAAACACATTACCTGGAAGCACTTCAGATCAAATGTCTTGTTTAAGATTGCTCATAACCAGTCAACAGGGAAGATAACAAAAGTCAGCAAAAAGATTTGAAGAAAACTTATCAGACAGACAAATCTTCATAACTACTTCAACAGGCAGGGCAGAGAGTAAAGAGGGTTACAGACAGTAAATTTCAATCTGATAAGAAAATGGATACGGTGGCATTGCCCAATAATAAGTACAAGTTAGGGGCCACAGAGGCCTGCCTAGGTGTGTTAAAGTGTGGCATAGGTTTATATGTCAAATGTACCACTGGATCTTAACGTCAGAAAATAGTACACACAAAAAATTGTGAAATACAAACTAAAACTCTTAAATACACTAATAATGGCTAAATAGTTTTATTCTACCAAAAGTATAGAGCACAGTATACACTACAGTTGGGTCTCACTTCTGCGCGGTTAATGTAACCCGGAGGTTACGTGGAAAGTGAGGAAGCCGTAAAGTGAACAACATAACATATGGGATTAATTGAAATGGAGTCAGGCCGATCCCCAAACTCCACTTTTGACGACACATAACTATGTTGCAGTAAAATTTTATCTTAACTTTATGATGGTATGAAAAAACAAGTAATATAGAAGAGGTTAGGTTAGGAAGATAAAGGTTAACATAGGAAAATAAAAGGTAAGGTTAGAAAACTAAAAATTATGTGGAACTCTACGGTAGTAGAAGAGATGGGTCGGCATACGGGGATGG